GTAGACACGGATGTCAGATCCTCCAACAGCCAGGTAGGTACCACTCTGGTCAAACACAAGGGACTTCACCTGGAACACAAAGCAAACGGAAGGATGAGAATCAGAAACACAGAGGATGAATGCTCTCCAGATCAGAAGAGACACAGCCAAGACAACATTGGGCCTAGTGTAATAATGTTCTCATACGTGCAATTTACCTTCTGTTAGTGTCATTTACAAGACTCATTCTGTATGTCATCTAAGTGATGAAATCCTTGACATTTTTTTTATTTGCAGAGTAAGGTGAAAAGCTCAATACCACTTTCATGTCTTTAAGTTAAAAACAAGACGAGAGCCAGAGGGTTAGCTTAGCAAAAAGACTGGAAGCAAAAAGACTGGAAGCAAAAAGACTGGAAGCAAAAGGAAACAGCCTGGTTCTTTGCTAAATTAAAACAATCCTCCTACCAGCACTTTTACATCGTATTAATGAAAACATTTAGGAGTAAAGTAGTGGCATCCATATGAGGCATGTACAGACAGTATCTTTTTAAATTCAACTCAACAAAACCATTTCCCTCTCAAACTATAGGAAATATATAAAATGCCTTACCTCATAGTTGTTGTCCAGATTGATTGTCTTGAAGTTCTTCAGTTTCCTCAGATCCCACAGCTTCACAGAGCTATCCTGGGCACCTGCAGCACCAAACAGCAATGAATGTTTTTATTAAAAAAAAACTATTAATAAATACAGTTCCACATCCAGTGCAAAAACAAAGTACGGAGAGTACGTTAGTGGGATTTTAAGATGTCACAGGTCAGTTTCCCAGTTTATGTGTGCAATTTAACAAAAAATGCTTCTCTGTCTTTAAAAACAAAATGCATGAACTTTAAACGTGGCAGTAAAACAGTGTAGCGATGCTGTTGGTAGTGCTGACCTGTAGCCAGATAGTATCCGTTCTCAGAGAAGGCGATGGAGGTGACGGGGCCAGAGTGGCCGGGGAAGTTGGCCACATTGGTGCGCTCCTTCAGATCCCAGATCTTGATTTGGGAATCAGCCGTCCCAGTGCCAAAGATGAGACCATCGGGGTGGAACTGAGCACAGGTCAGGGCTGTGGGGGGGGGGGGGGGGGGGGGCAGACAGAAACATTATCACCTGAAAAAAAGCTGTGCTCATATTCAGACCGTCACAAGTAAACATCGAGGCACGTACCACAGCCAGCACTTTCGTCCGTAACTTTAGTGAGGACTCGTCCAGTCTGGACATCAGAAAAGGCCCAGTACTGCCGAACAATGAGGGGAAACGTCAGTGCGTTTGAATGAAGAGAAACTTCAGAGTAAATATAGCGCGAGCTCTGTCAAAACACACACCTGATCCTCGGAGGAGCTGAGCAGGTAGTCCCCAGTAGCGTGAAGGGAGAGTCCAGTGACACCCCCCTCGTGGGCACGCACCACCTGGACACAGTTTCCCCCGGCAACGGACCACACACGGATGGTGTTGTCTGGTGACGCAGAGAAGACCACGGACTAGAGGGGGAGAGACAGTGAGGCAAACGGGGGATGGAGAGAAAGAGCAAACGGCGAGTAAGAAAAACAGATCATTCTTTTGTCTGAAACACTTTTCTACTTCTGAATGGTGCAGCGTCCGGATGTGTTTGTTGAGGGGGGCATTACCGCGGATGGATGGTAAATGACCGAGGTGACCTTCTTGGTGTGACCCTTCAGTGTTGCCACAATCTGTTCCTCGCTCTTATCAAACACCACCACGTTCTTATCAGCTCCGCCTGAGGAACAAAAAGAGGGTCGATATCAAACAAAAGTCCTCAAAAAAAGAAGAAGAGAAAGGTTTTGGAATTGAAATAAGCAACGTAGCGATAGAATAAAGGAATGTACCGGTGAGAACTTTATTGGTGTCGGAAGGACACAGATCCAGAGCCAGAATACCAGGGACACTGGCACTATGAAGACCCTGCAGGCATCATTAAGACAGGATGTTGACACCATGTACATCGAGTCAATAAAATAAAAACACCCTTGCATCTCTCTGATTAAAAAGGGAAATAAAAGTATTGATACTCAGACAGACAGAAATCTTTACTTACAGCATGAGAGGCCACTTGGCGGTATTTGCTGAGATCCTCAGATCTAACCAGCTCCTCTGGGACAGTTTTTCCTCTCTGGAGAAATGCAGTAAAGCGTTTAAAAAGGGAGAAAACATTACATAGAACCACAACAGTATGACCTGTGGTAGAATATCTGACTTATTAAAAGTAATAGCTGAATAGTAGACCAGAACAATACCTTCTTTCTTTCTGTGGTGAGGATAGTAGCTTTGTCTTGGAGCTGCAAACAGAAACAAGGCCATTTAAAAAACACACCTTAGACCTGCTCAAATAAACTGAAAGCTTATAGCCAAATAGTGATTTCATTTTTTTTTAATAAACGTACCTTTTGGATGATCTCTGGGGTCATTCCCACCTGTTCACTAATCTCCATGGGCTCTCCACCAGCACCCTGAGGTACAGAAGGCAGAACATAATAATGTTAGGAGAACGTCTGGCAAAAGATTATGATGAGCATTTATATTCAGTATCTCATCGACTGGAATCAAAAGCTCAATCACTTACGGCTGCGTTTTGCTGAGAGGCAGGGACGGCCTGAGGAGCAACCAATCCAGCCTGGGGCTTGAGTGTGGCAAGAGCTGTACAAATGAAATAGAACCCATTAGAATAACATTGATTCAACTAAAAGCTCATGTTGGCGAGGAGATGATTTAGTAAGGATTGTATCAATGCTGCTCTGCATGCTTTACAAGTGGAATCCTGTCCTACGATAGAGGACACACAAACGGCTGGAGACCCACCTTCTCTCGCAGCAGTGACCTCTTTGGTGAGTCGAGCGATAACTCTGCAGGCGGCATCGTGTTGGTAGAGGGCGTGAGACAGCTCTTGGCGAGTCGTCTGCAGCTGTTGCCGCAGGGTGAAGCTGTGAAGCATAACAGCATCCTAAAACAGAAACAAAAAAAACAGGTTGAAGGAACTCTTTCCAATGTTTTAAAACTATTTTAAAAAGAGGAAAAAAGGAGAAGCCTACTAACAATGGCCATTAATCAGATTGGTACACTAAGGTTTAATACTGTCAACAATATTGGTTAAAAAGGCATAGAAAGAAAAGGTCACTTGTTCATTAAAAACAGTCATTCTGGGTAACATTTACAGTATAAACGTGTTGCGGTGGATATATCCTCTTCAAAATGTACAGTACTTACCCACTCATCTTGAAGGGACTTGAGGATGGCAGGGATGCTTGTTGCTGATGGAGCCTTTGGTCTAATGGGATGGGACACTGAAAAAGAAAAGAGTTGCTCTTGTTTAGTCTAATCTTTTCATCAAGGTGGTGTTGTAGTTTACGAGGTTTCAATAACACTCACTGCAGAGTAGGGCACGTCATACAGTTCTCTTCTATAGGGGTGGTATTTATTCATATTATAGCAAGTGAGCATCTTCATATTTGCCCAAAAAAAACATGTTTTGTTCAGCTTCTTTGTGGTTATTTAACATAGTGCATGTGGTCCTTGTGCATCAATTGTACAATTCTAATCCTACTGTGATGTGCATATCAAATAAATTAAACGTAACTTAAATCGAAATACTAGTTTATCTTTAAATGGAATAAAAGTAGCAGCTCTAATCACAATATTGGTTGCAAGACTACCAGCATCATCTCAGGTGCTGCTTTATCAGTTAAACCTCGCTTTAACTAAACAAAAACCCACCTTCATGGAGGTTTATTATTTAATCTGCTTTAGGGGGGTGATTTTTCATTCATTCATTCATGTAGGGGGTGGTAGTTGAAGAACACTTTGTTATACTTGATCATTAAACTGCATTAGCTTCAGCTCGGTGCTCGTAATGCAGATAAGTTGTACCTTTGATGTCTACGAGCTGCTCCTCAGACAGAGGCTGCCCGTTCATCGGGTCGGTCCCATTCTCTGCGATGTACTTCTCGATCAGCCGGCGCTCAAACACCTGGCTGGACACCGGGGAGACGCATGGGTGCTCCGGAACCTCATTGGAGACTAGATAAAAAGCAAACACAGCTTTAAAACACGCAATAGCAGCAACCAAAGACCCACAAAAGAGACGGATGGGGCATCACAAGTAGAAGGCGGCACTGCGTGGCCGCTAGCTACATTAGCTAGTAGCATTAGCGCCTACACTGACTCCGCCATATCCATGAAATCTCATTCACTTACTTGCACAAACCAAAGACATCTTCCCGACCCAGTCCTTATAGTCTCTTCCAGAAATTGAATTATACTAGTCTTACGCTTTAACAGTAACAATCGCTAATGTGCACTTTACTTATGTTTTACTCAAATTGGAAGTAGCACGCTGTCCTTTCATTGCCGCTACAAACTGAGCTTTCTCTTCTTCTACGCTTTCTTTTCAGGTCTCCGCCAAGCCACAATTGTCCTCTACTGCCCTCTATCGCCGGAAAACACCCCTGCTCCCACCAGGGAAATAAAGGAAGTGGAGTAATGAAGAATGGAGTGGATAGATAGAAGATTAAATCACTATGATATAGACATTTGGTTGACTGTTCGATTCTTTTATCAAGCTATTATACAAAATATTAAGAATCAAATGTGTTTTTTGTATTCATTTAAAATGTGTCAATATCTTAAGGCCAAGACACTCAACTTGATTTGCCTGAGGCCAGTGGCCACATTAGCAAAATTAGGAGGTGGTCATTCAAGGTTTTTGGTCCAGCACCTTTTTAAAATTCAAATGTATATTAAAATAGTCTGCAGGCCAATTATCTTGCACAAGCTCTGTAATTTAGCATCACTGTCTTTGGGTTTGCAATTTTAACATGCAAACTATTGTTATTTGAACTGATGGCCATTTGTCGCTTTCTGAACTTTTGTACATTTAAAGAAAACACATCAGCAGAATTATCCATAATATAAATACATATTAGTTACATCCAAACAAAGAGCATAGGAGGAAATGTATAAAAAATGAGTGGTAAAGATATATTTATTGTTTAAGAGATGACATTTTGATAGTCCAAAAAAATGACAAGCAGCAGTCCAACCTTTTCTACTAAATATTTGGTCTTACGATATTATCTTGTAGAGTTTACAGATAGATAGGCTATAGCTAGTACTAATACAACAGTTACCTTGAGGGTATAAAATCACTGGACTGCATAGCAGACATTAAACATGATATTTAAATGTTGTTGTTATTAGGAATGGTTGTAGTTAGGAATGGTTATAATGGATGAAGAAAAACACGTCAACTAACTCTCTATTACTGTACAGTATTTAAGAATTCCTTTTTGCAAACTTTTATACCACAACTTTAATTTCTAGATAGCCCTAGAGATCACACCACACACATACTCGTATCAACACTCAAATACAGTGCACATCATACTGGTCCTGAGGTAGGTTACAGCGGGAGATTTCAGAAGCACCATCAACAGTGTCAAGAAATTTGTAATATGAGACAGGAAGGATGATGCTCAACTCATGCTGTAGAAAATCATATTAAGAAAATGCACATGCAATATTAATACCAAACCATTAAAACTGGACTAAAATGCAAGGCACAGGTGAAGTCTTTCTTTTCCAAAACCACATTCTTCAATCAGAGAAACAGTGCAGTTTCTCAATGCTTTACGGTTTTTATTTTCCTTTTGGAGCTCCAATTCTCTGATTTATAAGAAGTTCAGTTTCTCCGAAGTGTAAACACTGCATGAGTCTGAGGTTTCTGTGTCTAGTGGCAGTGTGGAGAAGTATCCTTGTGATTGGCTCCACCTTTTTGTATCTCCATCCTTCTTAATCTGGAATTGAACACAGTCCTCTGAGGAGTGGAGGCAGTCCGAAGCCCCAGGCACTGGAAAAGAAATCCTTCTCTCCTCCTCGTCATTTTGAGATGTGTGCCGCTAGGAAGGAATGAAAAGACACGATGAAAATAACATTTGAGTCTGTGAAGTAGAAATGCAGCTGGAGTGGGGTATTACCTCAGTGGTTATATTATGACATGGGGAGCTCCTAGCTGGTGATCTGTGTGCTTCCTGGTTCTCGGCTCTTGAACTTCCCATCATGACCGGAGAGTAACCCTGGAAATACAAACAGCCGAACACAAGCACATAATGGTACAAGTACAAAAACACAATATTTTTTGATGGGGAGACACTTGAATATGGTAAAACATTTTAACTAATAGATATCAATATCGTTTTTTTTAACAACTGATAATTTACAATAAGACATTCATATTATATGTAAGCCGGATAATGTGCAGTGAGGTGGTTATGATCGTATATCTTCCGCTAAGAAAAAGAAAAAAACTCCGTTCCACGGCACACCAACGTCTGGAACTGCGACAACAACAACTTTACGGTAGCACTGTCCAACAATGTTCACAGTTTCTGATCCACTAACAAGTCCTTAAACACTGCAGAGCCCATACCGTGTTCCTGTTAGTGTTGTCTAACTCTCTGCCTTCTTCTGGTGATTTATCTGACGTCCAGCACTTTTACCCTCTTTTACTTTCTCTTTCTTGATCCTCCTTAGCAACGGTCAATAAATCCTTGACAGCGGTCTGTAGGCTACTACTGGATTAACAACGTGTCACGTGTTCTGAATTGACCAATCCGAATCGAGTATTAAACTAAGCGATGTAATAAAATAATATACATTTGCTTTTTATTAATATATGACCAAACCCCTTGGTAAAAAAACTACGAAACAATAATAGGAAAGAAACTCTAAAGTGTGGTGTATAAGGGCTACCAGAGTACCGAAGAGATTTATCAAATTATGAGTAAAAAAGCATTTGGGGAATTCATAAGAAATAAACACAGACAAAATACAGTAAAAGCCATCTCCTAAATGTGTATATATGATGTTTTTTTTGTACTATTCCTAAATAATATTTTTTTTAAAGAATAGCCCAAACTCTTAAAATGGACTTTCACATAACGATGTTACTGCCTCCAGTGTATGGCCTTAACCATTCTAATACACACAGCCTGCTAACTCATAACTCAGACAGTCGGCCTTACGGTATGAGAGGGGCTGGCTCTGGGGGTCATTTTTCTCGGTGTTCCAGGCGGCTGATGGTGACTGTAGTAGCTCGAGGGCTGAGGGCTGGGCTGGCTGTAGTCCTGCACAGACAAGTTCAAGTCTGCATACTCGGCTAAATTGGTCGCAGAGAATAGCTCAACTGGTTTCAAATTATAGAAGTGAAACTAATCCACATGCTTTATAGTAAGGTTTAATGCTAATTGTGATACATTCACTTTGTAATCATGCAACAACATATTATGACCTACAGATGGATGGCAAATTAGGAAATAATAAACATTTAGTGGCTTCGAGAGAGATAGAGCCCTTTAGTGGCACATGCATTTATCTACCATAGTCTGTATAATTTCTCTGCTCATTTTTCACGTTTGATTTTCAATTTGACCGCTGTCTATATGTTTCATATGCAGCCTTTTCCAGATTCAATTACCCTATAACTTAATCAAAAACAAGGACTCAGAAGAGTTGATCTATATTTAAGCACATTTATTGTTAGAAGAATTTTCAATGAATGGAGGCTTCATTCTAGCCACCTTCACACAGCTTATGGATTTAAGAGTATGCTTTAAGGGATGGATTATATCATATATGCAGTATAGCTCCAAAAGCCTTGATTTATAAAGTGTTAGAGTCCTCTAATGGCCCTGTTAAGGCCATATGGTCATTTAATCTGTTCCATATAAACTACCCCCATGGCGTTACATGTGGCCACATGGCGACATTATTTAATAACCAACACTACTTTCTCTAACCTAACCTGTCTGCATACACACTCCCTCCTTTTTTATGTATTTAATTGATCCTTTGAATGTTGACTTTGTAAATGTATTTATAACCAGAAATGATTGTAAACTCATGGAAACCTCAAACTACAAACAAACATGTTTAAATGTGAAACTGTAATAAAATACCACTGATGTAACATGCTGAGATAAAAACAAAGTTATGGACATCACATATTAGTTCTCATACCTGAACAGCTATCTCAGCCAGAAGTACCCTAACCAAGACATCCTGATTTCCTCACCTGGATGTTGACCCTCGGAGGGTTGGCTGGTAGCGTGCGGTTTCCTCGGAGGCTGGAGATGATCTGCGACAGGCTGCAGTTTGGGTATCGCCTCATGAAGAGGAGGAAACCAGCCAGGGACACAAACATGCCAGAAGGGACAGTGATGGACTTGAGAAATGTTCGCCATCTGCCTCCCTTTTCTGGAGAGATCAGAGGGACGAATATCAGAATGAGCGTGAGGGAGCGAAGAATTCAGATGCAAAAAAAATTATAATTTCAAGCATGCTGTCACTCACCAATCACCTGCAACCAGGTGGAGGAAACCAGGTTTCCATCCTCATCTCTGATCTCATACAGCCCATCATGCCTTGCACTCAGCCTCATTATGACGACCTCATTGAGGGTGCCGTTCCTGCCCAGAGAGACGAGGCCCCTGTAGCGCATGTCGTGGTCTGTAATGAGGCCCTCGCGGATCAGCTGCACAGGGCCACGGGGGGGCTTGGGGTCATAAGGGCGCAGGGAGGATTCGTCAGGGTATCGGGTGGGGGTAAAAATGAGGCGTGCATGAGGGACAGGAAGAAAGAGGGGCAGGTTTAGAGACTCCTTGGAGAAGCGGGTGACATTAAGGGAGCGTCCTGCATTCACATGCAGGATCATGAACACAGAGATGGGTGCATGAAGGAAATGTGGCGATATGAAAGGGTTTTAGGTGGAAAGGGAAAGATAAAATATAAATGTTATAGATGACAGGATCCTAAACAGGGCATTAACTAAATGTTATTTATATTATTGATTAGTCTGCACATTATTTTTCTAGATTAGTCAAATTGCTCATCACGTCTATAAAATGTCAGAAAATTGTGAAAAATGACCATCCCTATTTCTCACAGTCCAAGGTTATCCCTTTAAAAGTATTTTGTTGTCATTCAAAACCCAAAGGTATTTAGTTTAATACGATATTAAACATTGAAAAGCAGAAAAACTTCCATATTTGAGGGGCTGAAAACAGCATTTTCCGCCATATTTGGATGAAAAATGACTTTTAACAGTCAACAAAAAGGTAGCCGATTACATTTTAAGTTGATCAGCTTATCAAAAAGTCGCCTACTCCCTGTTATAAAGTCAAATAATTCCTAAAACCCATCGTCTAATCTTCTCTCTCTGCTCACCGCGGACAGTCAGGGTGCTGCGGGACACCACCTTCCCCCTGTCGTTTCTCACGGTGTAGTTCCCCTGGTCTGCTTGCGTCACTCTCTCTGCGACCCACACCTTCCCGGCCCGCAGCCGCCCCCGGCCCGCATCGCTGGTCTCAGGGTCCGTCCGGTTCCACAGCACAACCGGCATGGCCTCAGGTGGAGCACCCCAGGGAGTAAACTCCAGAAGGGAGCCATTTTCAGGGATGTGGTGTTCAAAGTTCTGCCCGTAGAATCTGTGATGGGACTTAATGCATGCTGAAGCAGGACAAAGAGTCAACTGTGATATACTTGGATGTATGTTACTTCTTAACTCCCAGCTAATTTCAGAAATAAACATTGTTACTTTGTAGTATTCTTACACTTAATCCAAGCCATGAACGAGGCAGGAGATGGATTTAAAGGTAAGAGGAAACTATTGTACCTGAAACAGTGAGTCGAACAGCTTCATAGGTGAAACCAGAGGACAGTTTGATGGAGTAAAGTCCCTGATCCTCATGAGTCACTTCTCTCAGGACTAGCATCTTATCCCTGGTCCACTCAAACCGTGGGTCCTTAACCTGCAGTTGTAAAGTAAATTGGTTTTGGAAATCTGTACACACATCAAAATAAACAAGCATTGACAAACTCCCACTCACAATGGTTTTGTCCAGCAGTACACGCCTCGGCCCCTCGGGGTCTGGAGTGAAAGTCACTGTTCTGGATGTCGAGTAAACGGGAAGACGAAAATCCCGACCGGAACACACCATCTGGGCTTCCTCTCTTTCACCTGCGGGTGGGGTAAAGAGAGTCAGCAACCTCAACAGAGATTATGTTTTGTAGGTGAAAGATTTTGGATGAAAGTTGACTCACTTGGTACATCCCAACCTACGGAGGGACAACAATGTAATATTATTATGCATCTTCTCAAACAAAATGCATAGTTCTCAAATACACTGTAAGACATGATGGTACCACTTTCTAATAAGAATTTCCAATTACCATTGTAATGGATTTATAAATTGTACAAGGATTAATGACTTCATTGATGGTTAATAAATCATATAATAATGTTCAGACTTATGGGTAAAGGTACAGTTTTCCATGCAGGTCAGCCCTTGTTAAGGTCACCAATGATCCCTTTCTGGCACCAGAGAGACAGCTGATTGCTCAGTCTTTACATTTTAAATACTCTGCCCATTGAGATCAGAGGCTACATCTTAAAAATAGAGAGAATTTATACAAACTCTATGTTCACTTTGATAAGAGAATTGCCATACAAATCAAGTATCATTAGTATAGTTAATAGATATAGAGGTCTGTTTTAAAGTGCTATAAGATTAACTTTAAGTTTCCCATTGGTGTTTATTGTTTTTTCAGCTTTTTCACTCTTTTATCAGTATGAAATTCTGTCCAAAAGATAATAATGTTTTTCAAAAAAGAAATCTGGAGATTAGTTTTCCCCATGAATTTGTTTATGCAAAATACAAACCCGGTATAGACTGTTTGACCGTTGAGCTGTGGATTATCTGGACCATAATCCAATTATCAACAACAAATTAACATAAAAAACCATGGATTTGGAGATTAGGTTAAGAACCTTTTATTTGTGAATATAATTTGCATTTATAATTGCATGACATACTTCATGGCAGATTCTTGGGAAGTGTGAAATCTGTGACTCTGATATTTGTATATGGAAACTGTAAGGAACCAATGCATGGTTTATCAACATTAAAGACTATATCATTGGTGTTAAAAAAAGTTTAACACCAGTGAAGGGACATTTCACAACCTGGAAATCAGATTATTTGGTTTAGTAACACATAAAGCATTAGTAATTTAACAATTGTTTAATCCATTAGTCCCTTACAAAGTAAATGTAAATAACAAATGGTGTCTTAATCAAAATGGAAGCAAAACTATGTGCATGGACTTACCCACAGCAAAAGGAATGGCTAAAAGGGCAGTGAGCAGGACACAGGGGGACATCTTCACCTGTAAAGACAGTGTTTAGTCTACAGAGACATCCACCCCCACCTTCACATCACATCTCTGAACAAGCTGCGATCGTAAATCTACAAGGATCACAGACGAAGTGCCTCCTGCAGAGCGATACATTGAGAAGACATACATATTGTCACAGTGATCCATGACGCTGCTGTCTCAAGTAATGTCCACGCAGGTGTCCAACATTTCTCGATGAACGCAACATTTACAGCGACCAGGAGGCCGCCACTTATTTAAATCACACAGTCTGTGACACACATCTACACAGAACTCACCTGCAGCATGTATGAAGAATAAATGCACCGCGGGATATTTGTGAGTGTTTGTGTGAATATGGATAAGAGGATAACGTCCTCTGCAGAGCGCGCATGGGCACTGGTCCCGCTGTTTTATTTATGGCGATGCTCCTGCGCAAGAGACGTCACGTCTGCCTGGATTTCCTGCCAGGTCCTTGGTATGAATACGCTATTGGTGCAAGAGAGAGCACGTTACAACGTAGGATCCTCCTGACTGGGCTTTCCATCAAATGATAAGTACTATTTTTTGTATTATTATTCAAGAAAATATATATGAACAGACATCATCATACGTTATACACAAAAAACGTGTAAACGAGTAAAAAAAAAAATATATATATATAATATTTAACTATAATGTATAAATAAAAAATAAGGTAGTATTCAAATATTTATCAGATACAAATGTGGTTTTGCCTTCTTATTTTTTATATGTGTAATAGGGGTGCCATATTATTGTTGTTCCAAGTAAAGATTTACAAAATATGGGTTAGAGTCAATCCAGTTCTTCTTGGGAATATGAAAATGTCCCTAAAACAAAATTAGTTGCATACAAAAATCAATATTTGTAAATCCATCACCTTTAAAGGTTATTAAAAATGTCCTTATTCTAAAGTTGTATTGTTTTTCCCGTTGTTCTTTCTAAATAATATTTACCACCAGACCAAAACATTTTAGAATACAAAAAATGACAAAATAAATGACATTATTTCTTCATATAAATTACAGAAATTACAAGAAAAGTCCATATCACTTCTAAACTTTTTTAGTGTATTTTGTTTACAGGATATATATTGTATGTAACATTTTGAATGAAACCTCCTCAACTTTATTACTTACTTCTGTTGTACTGCAGTTCAGAGGGAAATAGGCTAATATACTTTTTACAGCATAGGCCTATTTTACAGTTATAACTTGTCAACTTTTTAAGAACGTTTTTTAAAGAATATTATGTGCTATTTTAAACAAACAAACAATTATTAGTGTTATTAGTGAAAAGGATGATAAGTGATGTGGATAAACCATCAATGTTAGTTTGAAGAGAAGGGTAAGGCACGAAGAAGAAGCCAGGACATCAGAGATTCAAGAAGTAGGCCCAGATCAGGGAGGAAGCACATTATTTGTGTTAGATCATTACAAATCAAGGTTCTTAACATTTCTCGCCAAGATGATAAACTGCTAAGGCAGAAAGGAAAAATTAGAGAATAGAAAAAGTTGTTGATTCTGTGAGAAAGTTGGGGACATTATGGGAATTACATGAATTACATAATTACATTATGGGAAGTGCATGCCCCCACAGGGTAGGGCTGGTTGATGGAAAATGTTGATATATTTATTTGTATTATATATTTGTTGTTATATTGGGAGATTGGGAGAATTGTGTCCAGTTGAGGGCGCTGATGCAATATGTTGGATACCAACAGCCGATTAAAAACCAACGAAGAAGAAGAAACTGATCTTCAAGTTTCTCAAAAACACTGGTCTGAATAGGTCTGAGAGGACAAAGATTTAACATGAAGATTCAATAAATCAACAGTAGGTGGCGATAATGCTCCAAGTGGTTGCGACTCGCCATTGAAGCAGAGAAGAAGAAGAAGCAAGCCACGCCTTATCGAACCAACAGCTCGATGTCCGGACAACAACAGCATCACACATTCCCCGAAACACAGAGGAAATAACTTTCAGTGAGTAGAAAGAAAAAGTCTTACATGTCACTTTTTCACATGTTGTGTTTTCTGCTGTTCAGTTTTCTGCTGTGTTAGTTTGCATACACGTTGTGATCGTGTTCAAATGTAACATGCTAGTTAAAGCGTATCCTTTCTCTGCAGGACATGTTATTACTGTACCTGACACTTTCCTGCGTCACGTTTGTAAGTGAGTATGAATCCTATTACTTTGCAGAAGAAATGCTACAGATACAACCCATCTGACTTTTAAATGATGTTGTGCAATCCTTGCTTAGTGACCCCTAATGACACATAGATATAGACATTAACAGTGATGTTGGTAGTGATTAGAGAATCCGTCCTTCACGTTTTAGAGTAACAGAAACAGGTCATAGTTATTTAAAACTCAATGGTGAAGTTATAAATATTGCTATAAAAAGTAGTACAAGGGTAGTCCTACTTAGTGTACAAATCTGAGAACTATAACATAACAATTTAGGGAGCTGAAGGTGTTGAAATATTCACCCCTGCAACTTGTAAAAATATATCACTGTTTGAAGGAACTGCAGTGTGAAATATATTCCCACTTTTTATGTGGCTGCTGATTTATAGTTTGCAGTAAGATCAAAATATAAACAGAACCCTTCTCCTCCTTCCATTTTGTAACTTGTGCTCGGTGCAAATAGGTTTTATTTATATTGGTAACACTTTTCAAATGTGCTCTTATTATGCAATATAAGAGTCACTAGTGTTGTGCAATCTTACACAATAGACTCAGCTGTTTCCACCCTAAAGTGTAGCAACTTGTTAAAGAACATACCAAGTAGCATTGATTTAATTGAATCAAAAATGTTTAATACATGTAATTATAGAAACACACATTTATAGTTTCTGACCTTTTTATTATGTTTTAATATGTTGTCTTATACGTTTTTGAGCTGTGAGTTTGTAGTCTGCCCATCCTCCGACTCATTAACAAGATAACTTGGATACACCTGGGGGGTATCAAAATTGTTTATGTTTTGCACGTTCTCACAATGCATCTCATTTTGTGCCGTGCGCACTGAAGAGACTTGCAATTATTTGCCCTAGACTTCTGCTTTCAGACGTAGTTAATTATGAAGTTATTACCCTATCAAATAATAATCCAATGCAGAGGCAATAATGTAATATAATACATTATTTTATATATATGATATATTTATATATGTATTAAAGTTTTGCATTGACTTTTAATACTTGTTGAACATACAATTTTGATATTTGTATGCGTTATAAGTTTCTAGTTATTGTGCTTTTTATCTTGTTTTTAATTATTGTTTTATTATTTTATTCCTATTGTGTTATTTTACATGTGTTCCCTGTACAGCACTTGTACAGGGACACTTGGTCAACTGAGGTTGTTTTAAATGTGCTATATAAATAATAATAATTGAGATTGAAAGTTACAACCAGCCCTTTGAGTGCAACCATAATGCTGATGTGGCCCGCGATGAAATTGAGTTTGACACCCCTGCTCTATACCATCAGAAATCGCTTGTTCTATTAGATATGTGCAATAAGTCTAACATGTTTTTTGTTTGTACGTGCTTTTTCAGATTGTAATGACAAGGTAACAAAGGATTACAGGGGATCATACTCCTTTGATATTCCTACACAGGCCGAATACCTGAAGTTCATTCCCCTTCAAAGTGTAGACCTGCCACAGGTCCTGTGGAATCGCTCCGACCCTGCCACAAATACGGGAGGAAGAGGGCGGCTGAAGCGTGGTACCTGGGAAATGAAAAACCTTAATCAGGATGACATGGGCCACTACCACACCATAGGAAAAGACAACGCTTTGCTGGGTTGGGTGTCGCTCAAAGTAGTAGGTGATGGAAGCTTAATGTGAATATTCAGACAGCTGCATATCTGATTAAATGTTATAACATGATATATTCTTTTCATATACAGCAACCAAGGACAACTATAAAATAAAGGAGCAAGAGTCGCTACTCATGCTTTATCCTTTTTCTGATACCCTGTGGACTGTCACTTTTAAAGCTGAGGGGGAGAAGTACGAGGAAACATTGTTGAAAGCAGGCAGACAGCACAGAGGGTATCAATCGGACTCAGGTCATTGGACTATACCAGATAGGACTCAGCTTAAGGCCCATGGCATAGAGATTTCTCCTGTGGAAGTCTCTGACTCCGGCACTTTTAGGTTCAGAGACCAGGGTGGCCACCTGGCTAAGATTGTGGAGCTGGTGGTATACGGGGGTGAGCAACAGCACATTATTTTGGAAAAATGTAAAAAGAAACTGTTCATGATGATTTGATTTAACATATTCCCCCTCCCCCTTTTTATCTTCCTACAGATCCAGACCATACTTTTGTTTTTGTTGGTATTGCTGTCGGAATATTCTTGGCGCTGTTATTCTGCTGTTGCTGTGTGAGAAAGTGCTGCTGTCAAAAGAGCTCCTCTAAAGTGGTGGAGACGGCTCCTCCCACTGCAACTGTACCTGCATCGTATTACCCTGTAAGTCCCTCATCGAACGGGAATTCAACTGTTTTAAAAATGTGTTGATATTTTACTTAAAAATAATTGTTTTAATTGCAGGCTGTGAATCAACCTGCAGGCACAATACACACTGCTAGACCTGCTAACAATTACTCCTATCAGCCTTATTCCCAGGCTCCCAGAGGACCTACAGCTGAGCCGTCGGTAGGTGTTTTATAATGGTTTTCTAAATGTGAGGTGCGCCCCGCACTTCAGTACCAAATTCGTTCCCTATGATTTGAAGTTGGAGATTCTGTTTCCCATCACCTACATTTTTATCAAACTAGAAAGGGAACTTTTGATCGTGACGATGAATTGAAAATATTTTAAGTCAAAGTAAAATGTCTTTCATAGGTATTATGACAGCAGTCCTATAAGACCCATAAGAAATATGTTCTCCTTTTTCTGAAACCTGTGTATTGGTTTTCCTTTCAGGTGAATGTCCACGTGAACCCCCTTCAGCCTGAGGTACACACACAAACATGAATATTGTTTAACAAACACCTAGAGAGCCCTCATTCTCACATAAATGTGTGGCTCTTCAAAGGCAGAACTTTCTAACACTGTTTCATTAACACGTACTTTTTAATTTCCCCCACCTCGGCTCTCAGGGTGCTCCTCTAGGAAGGCAAGAAGTTGATGGAGGCTCCGCACCCGGCTCTAGTTTCCTGTCCTCAGATCCTGGGCCCAGGTTTGAGATGAAACTGACTTCCCCTCTCCCCCTCAGTGCAGAATCAAATTTCCCGCATGTTTATACCTCTGCGAAACTCAACTTTTTGTAAGAAGCCAAATGAAAATGTCCAGAGATGCTGAGTTTTCATTCAGCATTGTGCTTTGTTACTATACTAATTAGTTATTTATTAGGTCTGCATAAAAGGTGTACGAGATAAGGGACATGTACACATACACACTTTGTTGACACATCACCTGATAGTAGGATAAAAACCAACAAAAACCTGCTGAAAACAAAGGGTTTTGAGACCAGTTCAAAAGATAGATAGATAGATAGATAGGTACTTTATTGATCCCAATTTGGAAATGTTTGCGTTGCATCAACATAAAAAACACAAGGCAATGAAATTAAGACACAGAAATAAACAATCCAATATATTTCAGAAATCAAATAAATATTTAGCATTAACAAAAATTAAAAAATCATATATATATATATATATATATATATACATGTGGAAATACAAATTTCCAGTAACAAAAAAAGTAACTCTTGATAACTCTTTGCTACCCAACAGTAGAGGGTACATTTGAATTTTAAGGTATAAATCAATTAAAATCGGTTCCTACAAATGATCACGGTATTTTGTTTACAGGTAAGAAGAACAAAGGTCTCTTACTTATTACTGTAGCTCCACACTGTATCGTTAACGTAGAGGGAACTGCCATTACACACAGCATATCTGTGTTATATTCTATATAAATGCCTCTGCCATTAACTCAGGGTGTTTTAAAAATGCATCATGTACACTTTGCCATACTGCCTAATATATTGCAGGGCATAGAGAGATAACAGTATTGTGAGGACTGGAAGTGAATCTGTGTAGCAGATTTGAGAAAGTAGAGGATTTAATACAGATTTAAACACTCAGGGATTATCCACTACTTTAAATAAAATACACTCAATATAAATATAAATGTTTTTATATGGTTGTCTCATATCTCCATTGGGCAAATTCTGCCTCATATGTATCAGCGTGCCTGTAGGGCTTTATCATTACGTGTTTAGAAATTATGTGATCTTTTTTATTGGTGTTTTTCTTTGTCAAAATGTAAATCCATACTGGAAACTGTTACCCTCAAAATATTTAGTTGTCTATTTGTAGATGTTGTGTAAGGTGGAGCTTTTTGACCATAGGTTCTTCTTGTGGCTTTGAGAAACTACCTGCTCATTAAGCCATCTAATCATAGTCAAATTAAAACAAACACATGTCTGCATGACATGTAAAAAGGTGTTACTATATTTTGACTATGAAGTTTTTTAATATAGTATTTCTCTTGGTTTTTGAATGTTAAAAAATGAATTGCCTTACTGGACTGTATTGCATCCCAGAGAAAAGCTGCAATTACCTGTATGTACCAAGGTAATGTAATGTTGTGTCAAATTGTATCCGAAACTAAATTGATGCATTATTGTAGTGTCAAGTAGTATAAGCATGCATGTGTGTATAACAATAGAAACACAAGTACAAGTTTTCAAACAATCATAGAGTAATAACCAAGATATAATTATTTAATGTGACGGTGCATAAGTTCACAGATGCAACTCTTTATGGTTTGGAATTATTGTGTCTCTATTATTGCCTTCGTGTTGCTTGGTGAGGGCACTGAAACCCTGTTTTTGCAATAAACCTATATTTTCTGATCACTTAAGAATTATTTTTTGTTTTTTTTCAAAAAGATGAATGTGTTTTTGTTAATGGTTTGGTCTTATACCTTCTTATTTTGAATTATAAAGGGCACTGTTGAAAATACATCATGTCACATGTCTCTTCTTTTTTGCATGCACGTGACAAGGGGCTTCCCTCTTTTGATTACATCTGATGAATTCTAGATGTAGCAGAGCAGGCTGTGTTCCTGTGAAACCATTAAAGGAGTTATCCAGCATTTTAATGTAACATTTCATACAAACTGGAGGACAATGTTCTACTTTTAATGGAGATTTTCTGATTTTCTATTTGACTAATTTGGTTATTAAACTGATAAAACAAGGTTAAGTACATGCATGGACATTTCTTATTGTATGGACCAAAAGTTTAATCGATTACCCGAGAAAATGACTATTAGATCTATCAATAATAAAAATGATTATCTTAATAATGTGCCTTTACACAAGTGATTGACCTGGCATTATTCATCAGGAAAATGGTGGCCTTCCCCCAACTCCAGCTTAAACATCTACTTTACCGGCTGCTGGGTTCTGTCCACTGGTTTAGCAAAAGATTAAGAAAATGTGTATCAATCAAATATTATCCAATATAGTTTTGCCTATTAACATAGGAATGAGTTGAACAAATAATAAATAGTTTAAGGCCTGTGCTGGGTGATCCTCCTTATATCTTCTAATTTACAAAGCAAATACATATAAATACAGTATATTCAAACAAATCAAAATTGATAAATAAAGCTTGTTTATTGGAAAACGTTTTTTAATGCTAGAGAAGACCCCTGACAGAGGTCTGAGCTAAAAGTCCTCTAATCCTCAATATAATTCATATTTGCATAATAACTGACCCCTGGTGTCCTAACATTGTTCCCAACACGCTCCCTGGGAAAACAAAGTTGAGCATCCATCGTGTCCTTGCTTTACAAGCATGATTGATATTTTTAAAAGTAAATGTATTCAAGTACGGTACATGTACTTTACCTGAGTATTCTCAATCTCAGTTTTTGAGCTTCATACTTCTACACCACTACATTTATTTGACAGCTTTTAGTTACTAGTTACTTAGATTTAGACTATTAGCTAATACAAAATATAAATCAATTATTAAATCAACTTTAACATGTAATTATCCAGCAGCAGTATATCAAGTTATTCAAATTAGCTCCACCTTTACAAGCTGTGATAAAAGCACATCAATAATCATCATAACTCAGTGGCCGTATCTCAATCGCGAGGAAACTGGCTTCCAAGCCAATATTTCAAGGATACTACGTCATCGAGTGCCGCCGGAGGACTGCTCCAATCTCCAGTATACTTGGAATTCTACCGAGGCCGCGTTTGGGGGTAATACCATGGTAATACACATAGATATATGGGTAATACATGGGTAGACTTCGCATCCTTCAAATCTCCACAATGCTTTCTTTGCGCACGGACCAATTTCCCCAAATCTGTGGCAGAAAATGTAAGGCGGGGCCTCTCATATGACGCACACTTGATAGCCTGTTCCACTCTTCGTTTTCCGAATGCCAGGAAGGATTCTTGCCTAGCTTCTGAAGGAAGTGACTCGGAAGACATACTACCAAGCAAGCATCCTCGCGATTGAGAAACGGCCCCTAACTCAATATTATGAAATGTTCCATGGAATAAGGAGTACTTTTTACAAGTACGATTTTAAATGCAGGACTTTTAATTGTAACAACGTACTTTTTAGTAAAAATGTAGAATTAGAATCTGAGTACTTATTCCACCACTGCCACTGAGCCTGGTGGCTTGTTGTGACTCAGCCATGTTGGCACTTTAGGAATCTTGTAACGAGAATGGATGTCAGTAATTTCCTATGGTCCTTGAACGCATTATGTGTGCATCCGCAGAAACGCCCTGTGGGTGTGCTGAGCCCCCTCCCCCGGCCTGAAAACCTACTAAAAACGAGTACGGGGTTTGTGGTCTGTCTCACAGCGAATATATTGAGGTGTTTGCAGCCAGTTGAATAATAATGACTGGCTCCGACCTACACTGAACACGGCTGAGGTGTTTCTCACTGAAGACGATGATAGTGTTGTTATTGCTGGGTGCCTTTGTTTGTATGGGTGAGTACTGTAGCCTAAGTGTAAACATATCCTAAAGCTGCTTAAGACGAAATCTGTGTACTTTAAGTTTTGTACCCAACAGTTAGTAATAATTAGCCTGGAGGCCAATATCATGTGATTGGTGGAACGTAAACTAACTAATCACATAAATGTTACTCAGTTTATACAATTATGTGTGCCGTTATTTCCAATGAATGCTACTTTACACTGGTAAATAGTTACTTAAAATGATACAATACAGAACTTCTAAACTGCATTAGATTAAATGCAATAACATAATCGTTTTCTTGCTAACTTTTATAATGTTTTGTGTCCCATTACATGTTTCCTGCACAAGATATTCATTTGTGCACTTGAGTTATAACATTGACTACATCCATAATTAAACAATAACTAGTTAATAAAGTTGGCTAAATCTTTAAATCAAGCTAAATATTGAATAGGAGGAGCTACTTTTATAATTTATTTTTGTTTTAATATTGCTACCATTACAAAAAAGTTGCCTTTAAGTAAACTATGTCAGCATCCCGGGCTTCTGCCAAAACAATGCTGTCACATTAATTCACAATCATTTATCAGATTTAGACAAATGTTATTACTTGTAATGCATTTTGTTTGGACCATAGGCTCAATTATACAAACTAACTTGGTTAATAACTTTGCTAAAGTTATCCATGAGGTGTAGCTAAGTAACAGATAGCTTTCTAACCTTAGCTTACGTGAAGGTTAACGAACTGGCTGCCTCTGCTGTCATCACTCTTGGCAAATAGAAAAACAATTCAAAATATAAGACTTTGGCTGCATTTAACAAATCAGAAAAGCAAAGTGATGAATATATGTAAATTGTTAAATATTGTTGATATTTAGTAAAATTGCTGAATACTAATTATGATAAGCATCCATGCTTGTATGTGTCTGGGTTCATTCGTAACCTTTCTGTTGTATTTGCCCTCTCTAGGCCTGGCAGAGCAGCGTTATGACGTAGAGTATGGAGACTCTCTGAACTTACGGGTTCCCAGAAAGCCCAAGTCCTTTGAGTTCACTCGCAAGTTCAGCTCAAATGTGACCATCTTGTGGAAATGGGGTGAACCGTTGACCTCGTTGGACGGAAGGCGGAAATACACGGGTATCTTCTTTGAGATGTATAATTTAACTCAGAAAGACATGGGCCACTATAGGTTCAGAGGCAAAGAACAGAATGAACTGTCAACCTACACAATTGAGGTAAAAGGTAAATATCCTTTTTAGTTTTCAATTTTCATCAAATACATTTTCCTATCCTAGCACTTCTTTTTGTCAAGATAGTGTTGGTGTCACACTTGTTTCTTTAAAGTTTGTACACTTCACATGGTACGACCTGAATGTCAGGAAGCAAAAAATGTGGCTTTTCATAATTAAAAACCCCTTGTATTTAGCTTCCTGAGATTTCTTTAGCATGTACAATAGTTTATTTTAAGAAGCTATAGAGAAACATGATTTGTTTCCATACAAAAGAACAATCAGTTTATCTTTTTGATAGGGGTGTTAAGCTTCTAAACTCTCTGCAATAAAACGATAGATTATTCCTTCAATTCTTTAAAAGCCAGCATGCTATATGAAAGACTAAACTGTAAACTTATACTGAAAACCAATACTCTACGGTAGACTAGTTTGATCTGAAAAGATTTTAAGATATTGCTTTTATATGCTCTCTTTGTGTTCACTGTCTTCCAGCAAAAACAAAGTCCTTTCAAAAGAGTCCTGGTAAACACCTCCGATTCTCTGCTAAACTGGAACCAAGCTTCTGCAACGTTTACTTCTTCCCAGAAGGCACACTCAGGTGGAGGATGTCGGAGGTTGCGATTGTCCGTCGAGGCAAGCTGCAGAGGCATTTGGATGCACTTGGGCTTGTAGGGTTTGATCTGAATGAGCCATGTGGGATTTACATTGAGGCCATACAGAACACATACAGGGGACGCTATGAGATCAGGGATGAGAATAATGACACAGCCTTAGAGGTGTATCTGCATGTAGCTGACCGTAAGTAACCTTTGTGTTTTTCCATTAAGTGTCAGATTACTGTTATTGGTGTACAATATAGTCCTAAACAGTCTTATACATATCTTAATGTGTGTTTGTTCTAATGCTCTTTAAAGGTGGGGTAGGTAATTTTGGAGAAACCAGCTCGAGTGCGCTAGAATTTGAAAATACACAGCCGGAAGAAATCTGCCACTTCCTTACAGAGCCCCTCCTCCAACACACACGAACGCGCACATGACCAATGAGGGCACGAGATAAGTTTGTGCACAGATGGAAGGCTGACAGGCAGGTAGGCCATCCAGTTATTTTAGCCGGGCCGGCTAAAATGATTGGTCGTGCTTTTTACAGTACTACGGCTTCCACAGATGAATTTTTTAATGGATTTTTTGTCAAAGCAGATATTCATTGCTATCGGGATGTTAAGAGCATTCCATGGAATATAACAAAAAGTGTATCTCGAGCCGGTTTCTCAAACGTTTTTAGTTTTATCCTTAGCCAAGCTTTTAGTTTTAATCTATTGTATTTAACAGAATGACTCCCTTGTACATCTCTCAAACAGGGATTCCTTCAGTTAAGGGATCAATAGACAAACTCAATATGTGCAATATTGATGCACTCAAGAAGGAAGAAGTGCTTGTAGCCATAATATTCAATCTAAATGAGTTAAAAGAAACCGTTCAACATTTTGGATACTGTTCATCTGCTAACATGCCGGAGAGATAGATACTCTCATAATGGTACAATACATGTGCTAGCTTAGCACAAAGATTGAAAACAACAATTTTCTCACCTGTCAGCAAGTGTGAGAGACAAAACTTAAAAAGTACAAAAATAGCCAAACCATGCAGAGGAGTGTTTTGTTCTCAGAAGAGTCTTGTGCTTACTGTCTTCCAGCAACCATTAGGACCTCTGAACTGAAGGCTGGTGCACAACTCAGCTTCAATTTTGATCTGGAACCAAACGACTGCAACATTCACTTCTTCGGAGAGCCATCGTTTGATATAGTTCTTCATGGCAAGCTGCAAAGGCATTTGTATGAAAATGATTGCATAGGATTTGAACTGATAAAGCCATGTGGGATTTTAAAGGAAGACCTCCAGATGTCTTGCCAGGGACGCTATGAGATCAGGGATCAGGATGGCGACACGGCCTTAGTGATGATACTAGAAATGGAGGGTAAGTAACTTGCCCATCTTCTTTAAGTGTCGAATGACTGCGTTTGAATTTCAACACTAAAAACTGTTTGCTATTATCGTCCTCCTGTCGACATCTTTCTTCTTATGACCAAGAAAGATTTACAATGACACGAATCAGAAAAAAGCAGGATATCCTCGCATTGTAACCAAAGCAGCATATTTACAATATATAAGTATACACACACATTCTTGCATGACATGATCAATCAGTCAGCACCATCTTTACATTTCTCTGCCCATTGACTCTCTGTTTCAGCACCGCCTGCTGAGCATTCGGCTATTGGTATTAGTATAGGTGTTTTCTTCTCCTCACTTTTTGTGTGTGTCGTGAGGCGCTGCTGCTGTAAAGGCAGCTCCTCCAAAAACAAGACATCTGAGCCTGAAGCTGCTGAGCCTGATGTGCCATACGAAGAGGTGAGGCTACCTGTGTGAACACTATGGTATGCCGTTGTTAGTATTATTGTTAATAAACAAATTCCCCGTTGTGTCAATCTATACAGTACGACCTTGAGCCTGTTCGACTGCAGCCAGATCAAGTCAGCGAGCCCTCCGGGACCCCTTACCGCTCTCAGCCTCCTCTTACGCCCACCGACCCGCTGGTTAGTGTCTGTCGCATTTCAAACAGAGAATTTATCTACATAATCTGCACTATTTTATTCTACTTTATTTCTAATCTGTTTCTTCTTGCACTATTTGTATTTTATTTGTACATGTGTTTTATTGTTTTATGTCTTATACCTTATGTTGCATTGTTGGAGGAGCCTAAGATTGTTATTGCCATATTTACACTGTAGCTACTGGGCAGATGACAATAAAGCCTTTGGATCTTGAATCTCTCTTGTTTTCTCAAACACTTGAGCTCCGTTATGCTTTTCCCTCTCCACTACTTATACGTTATGTTTTGCTTCACAGATACACAATCATCCTTCTGTGGAGATGCCACCAACATATTCTGAGGTATGAAATAATTCATATAAAGCGGAATTGTATTTTTCAACATCTATTTACAACTTATTTTGGTCACATTAGTTAAAATAACTCATCTTATTTGCAAAATCTCACAATATCCTGACAGTAAAACAGGAGTCTGTAATCTTTTCTATAACTCTCCCCATTGATCTTAATGGCTCTTGCAATATTTTTATATAAAATATATATGGTGTTGGAAACAGTCTAGCTGCCAATCCTAAGCAGGGGTACGCTTTCTCCTCATTTCCCATCCATGTTGGCGGAGTTTAGAAAGTCTCGTATACTATTATTCTACTGTTCATTTCAGTAACCCTAGTCTCATATAGCTGCCCTGCCAGCATCTAACTCCTGAATGTGTATATTTAGTTTTTTTCATATGCCGATAGCATATATTCTGAAACTAATGGATTCATGCTAGTTTATCATTTTATTTAAAAATATTCTCCACGTAGCCTCTTTTTAAACAGCAGTATGTAATGTTTGTACTTAAGTCTTTTATTTATCTGTTTTGCCTCAATATGATCTTGCTTGTGATACTTCTTTGACATATTTGTCTCGCAGATTTTTCCTGCATCAGGGCAAACAGACGCTCCAACTTTCCCCGTCCACTCTGACCCTGAGCCGCGGTTCGAGGTGAAGGGGATGACCTTTCCCTCCGCTCCCCCACTCAGTTCAGACTCAACTATCTCTGCTGTTTATACCTCGAGTAAACTCAACTTCCTCTGAGAGCCTTGATTTTGAAAGATACACTCAAATGTGTAAGCTCATTCATATTATGGCAAAGGTTTTGGGAAATATTTATATTCATCAGAGGCTTCCTGGACTCTCAGCTAGAAACTGGTCCCAGCCAAGTCCTGTCCATAAACAACACAGTCTCACGGCATTTCGTGTTATAGTCACGAAATTAAACTATTGATTCGTGTTCACCAACAAGATTTTGCCATTTTTTTCAAAAGCAATGTAAATAATAACAAATTAGAAGGAAAAAAAGATGACAAAAAATACAAATTTCAGTATTCTGAGGCTCTGAGCCCCATTTATTTTCCTCGCGGACGGCAAAACAACTCAGATATTATACAATTTAAAATAAAAGGGATAGGGTTAGGCTTAGGGTAAGATATTGAGTAAGAAAATGTTTTTATGAACCACTCAGCTTCTGGTCTTCCAAGACCCGACCGGACAAAAAGACGTGGTGCAGGCACGAAACATACTACCAATAGAAATACATTTCTTTTAAAATCGTTCTATGTGACACGAAAAAAGGGGAAAATCGTGTTGGTGAACACGAATCAATAGATTAAATTAATTTCGTGACTATAGCATTTTAGACAACGCAACCCAGCTAGGCTAGGCTGGCTAGGCTAACCTGCTGCTGGCTGTTATTTTAGTTTTACAGACCAGAACATATGACTTTGTGCCTGAGGATCACACATTCCATACCAAAAGGGAACTTTTACAATGATAAATCTCTCTTTCCTACCTCACTTCAAGGGTGACACTCAAGTAGCTCATTTGTTTCTCCTATTTTTGAATAAATAGCTTTAAAGTGTCAGGGATGAACCATTTACTGCAGCTTAACTGAATATGTGTAGGTAGAAAGCATTCCTAAAGTAGCCTTAATTGATGCAAAGCTCTCTGTATTTACTCCAATGTGAATGCTCAGGTTCATATGTGCATTGTGTGCCTCTCTTAGAACATGTTTACATGTTTTAATGTTCAAAAGTGCTTTATTTTTTCTGATACTGCCTTTTTTCATCTTCTGTCTGAAACCAGAGCCCAGTCTTCTCTGATTGGTTAGCCATTTACATGCACACAAACCTATAAAACACACTCCAGGAAAGGCATAATAGGGCCTCTTTAAAAGTTGAAAAGTCCTCATGTTACTTGAGTTATTTGGACATTTGCTTGGCACTCTGCATGTAATTCAGCTTGAGTGCATTTAAAACGTTCATTTATTATACAGTGAAGCGTATATGTGAATTAAATTAACTTCTGAAGGAGCTGTAGATGTTTATGTCTATTGATATGTACTAACCACTGTATTTCATTGTCTTAGGGCAAGTCTCAAACACATACACAGATTGAAATGTGCTAATGTATATTATGTGTCTTGTAAAGTGATTGTTTGATAGTAAAATCACAAGCACCAGTTGCCTTGTACATAATTTCAATGGCATAAAAACACCTCTGCACTGCACTTATGTCAACATTGTACCATAAGTGCATTACTCAATATTAGTGCTGCGTACCTGGACTCACATTCAGGTTCAGGTCCGGACTCAAGTCCAGAGGTTCAGGTTCAGGTCCGGACTTATAAGTCCGGACCTGAACCCATGGCTTGTGTAAAGTTGTGTGAGTAACTAAAGTGAACTTATTGTGAGCTAATTATCAATTGAAAATTAACTCATAATCAACTCAAATTCAAACTCGTGAGGTTTATTGTGCTCCCTTCCAACTTGTGTCTAAATTTCTCTACAAAGTACAAATGTAAAAAATAAACTTTTTGCCACTTAGTCTACAAATGACTTATGACAGCAACTTCAGTGAACTACTACAAAGTTCAAACATTTATTTCATTTACCAAACTAAAGTAACCAAAATAGTCCCTGAGCTGACTGAGCCTAAATCCCTAAAACGTTGCTGAAAGGTAGAGTGTAGAGTAGACTATATGCATTACACTGTTACACACCTACTATACAGTATAGGCTACACTGTAGTGACTGACTGTACAGTCAAAGTGTACTGTACTGTCTGTACACCATGTATTTTCTACAACTCTACATGTATACATTATACAGTACATACTACATACATAGTGATGTACATACATAGGCCTACTGTTAGAAATTAAAATCAATGTTGATATGGCGTAATTTTGAATTAAATACACTATTTAATTTAAATCAGTTTTATTCTGAAAAAAAACGGAAATTCACACTATTAACTTAATACTTTTATTCTGAAATTCTTCACTTCCGGTTAGCATTAGCATGTGGCGAAATGCTACGTTTTCAAACCGTGAATCGAAGGTGAAATGACATGTGATGTTGTACACTGAGCACACTGGGATTAGCACTCATGTATTGACGCTGAATAACGTTTATCAGGGAATGTTTAAATAACCACAGACACCAGAATATACGTAAGTGCTAGTTTTTTTGCGAGTCCAAGTACCGGTTCCCGACGTTCCGGTTTTAACCGGATTTGAACCGAAACTTTTTACAAGTCCAGTACCGGTTCGGCGTACCGGTACGCAGCACTACTCAATATACATTTGTATGAGGTGCAATAAATGTTATTACACACGATTAAAAAAAATGTTCTGGGAAAATAACTGGAAGGGAGGGAAATGTCAGAAGATATCAGCGACAAGGACCTGAGATATGTTATTATCTGACAAATTAGTTAAACTGTCTAATCTGTGCATGGTTAGGGTTCACTTTCCTGTATTGATTGTCCTTTGTGGTTAATTATCTGAAATGAGGCATGCTATCACTAAGCCTTACAATAAAAAATATATTTAAAATGTATTGTAGTTTTGTTACGCCACTACACGCACCACCAATCCAATCCATGTCAGCGCAAAGCCAAAAGTGTATCCATGCATTTTGATTCCCTTCGAACAATACCAACCGGTCCAAAAAGGATGATCGCCTGAAAAGCACTGTAACAAATAGTGTAGCATATGAAAATACAGTATGACTATGTTCAACTATTTATTTTTTAAGTATAGGTGTTGAAATGTCATCAAAGGGTGCATACAACAATATTTGTTTCCACTTTGTACAGGTCAAATCAAAATAGCTAGTGCTGTAAGCCACTTGGTGGTGGTGAAAACTGAGATTCAGTGTTATCTTTTAAGTTGTTTTGGCTAACTAGATAGCAGATGGTTGCTTATGGATTTATAACTTCACACTACATTTTACATTTCTATTTATTTGACATATTCTTGCACACTAAATGTAAATAATATTCCACTTTTATATCGTTTTATTTGTAATTTAGCCCTTCAATGGTGTTTTATTTATCAGATACTTTACATATTTTTTCTTAACGCTCAACTTCTATATTTTCACTCTTTTGGTTCTGTGTTATCTTCTATTTTTGAGATGTTTACTTTGTATAATTGTTCGTTTTGTACTCTTTTTTTTCTTTCTAATTATGTACAACAGATGCTGATGTAACGAAAAGATTTCCCTATTTGGGATTATTAAGTATTAAAAAATAATAATCATAACAGCAGTTAGCTCCGTTTTAGTCTACGCTAATTGCTAATTGCTCAACATTGTTCACCAGCTCGCTAAGTCTGGTTGTTTGCACTTGAATTTTAAGAACACTTTTTGTGCTGTTGCTGCCGATGAAAAGTGATTGAGAGTGAACTAAGATATCAAAATGAATGAGCTGAAAGACACTTTAGCTCACTGAGCCTAATTAAAGAGTCAAGATTAAGTGACACATTTCACATCCCATATAGTCATTTAATTCATTGTAATTATAAAAATGTTGGTCAATCATAGCAGCTTTAAAGCCAAAGGCTCCATTTGCACAACCAGCTGATCTTCTGTCTGATCTTCTAATATTAGATGTTTTATTTTTACAATAACATCTTCAAATAATTATTTTGTAAATGCATTTTTGTCTAGAATCAGATGACCTTCCCTATCTTATTTGTCTGTGATGATGCAGTGAGGTGGTGACACAGGGAGTTAGTTTCAATGTGGATTCATATATTTCCACTCTGCACTGTAACACAACAAAGCGTAGGGGGGAGTGAGTCTTACTGCTGCAGGCTGAGCTAGCAGGAATGATCATTCTGGCACCGAGGTCAGGTTGTTCCACTCGGCTGGAGTGGCAGTGGGGGTTGAAGGCCGTTAGTGTGGATCCGGAGGAAAAGCTTCCAGTTGACTGAGCAGCGTGAACCAACCATACACAGGGGACTAAAGAGGCCATGGAGAGCTAGGTTGGCTTGGTTTGAAGATCCATCCATCTTCTCCCGCTTATCCGTGGTCGGGTCGCGGGGGTAGCAGTTCCAGCAGATTTGAAGATACAAATGTATAATTTCCAGTACATGGTTCAGCTGAACTCTAATCACTTTTAGTGCTAGGTCCTTTTTCGAATGGTAGCCCTTCAGTGGAGGCTGGATTCCTATCTGATCCCCATAGGGACATAAAACCCCCCCTGACAACGGGACGCTTACTGAAGTCTTTCACTTGCAGCCAAACAGGGGAACGTCTTCACCACAGCTTCCAAATCACGTGAACAAGAGACTCCAAATTATGCAAGTAGGTCACACCTTTTTATTGGATTTTAGTGCTCTTTTTATTTTTATTAGGGCCGGGACTTTAACGCGTTAATTAAGATTAATTAATTACACAAAAATTAACGCATTTTAATCGCACTTATTTTTGCACCGCGGAACGTTTCTCACTGGATGAGTTTCAGGCGTACCGATTATACTGGAGCACCAACTAACGTTCATGACTTCAGACAACAACAAACCACAGTGAACAACAGTGGGAAATGTTGTTTTAAAAAACGGACGGATGGAAGCGTCGATAAGAGCACGGTTGTGTGCAAATTATGCAAAAAGGAATTCGCATATCACCGCAGCACATCAAGCCTCAAGTATCACCTCAATGCAAAACATATAGCAGCTAGCGTGGACGTTAGCCTCTTTTATCGCGTTCACACCAAAAAGAGCCGGTACTAAAATTAGTTCATGAGAACCTTTTTACCCCCACGAAAGTCCCTGCTAGAGAGCAGAGAGCTGCTAGAGAGCAGGGACTTTCGTACGGCTCTCTTGTGAAAAATAGCTATATTTCTGATTGGCTGGGCGGATTGCAAACCACGCCCCGTAAAACTCCCAAAAAGTTTTGTGAAGCCGCCATTTTATTATCCTCGCATTAGCATTATTAGCATTAGCCCAGCGCAGAAACGCAGAGAGACTAACTTATGGCAACACAAAATAAAACATGGGAGCGGTGGAGATGAGGAGGTGTCGGCGTTCTGGCGATTTACTCGGAAGGCTGCTGGGACTCCCAGCAGCTTCTACTGAAGCCAGTCCCCAACTCCGGGGACTTCCGGCCGGGGACTTTGGGCGGCAGTATACGCCGTGAAGTGGTTTGCGGCCTGCCAGTAAACCCAAAGCAGAAGAAGAAGAAGTGACGTCATCGGCTTCATTTGCCTAATCCTCCCCCAGGTTCAAAGAGTTCTTATGAACTAAATTCTCATGAACCTTTGTGGGAAAAGTACTGCGGTGTGAATGCGCCTAATGGTATACTAAAATCCATGTGAAAAAAATTGCTTCTCACTGTTCTCAGGTCAAATATTTATATGTGATTAAAAATGCGATTAATTTCGATTAATTAATTACAAAGCCTCTAATTAATTAGATTAATTTTTTTAATCGAGTCCCGGCCCTAATTTTTATATAAATGTTCTTGGGAAAATTCTGTATTTTTTTATTGTAAAGTCTCATTTCTTTTTAATAGCTTCTATGTAATGTAACCTATTAATTCCCAATCTATACCATAACATATTACTATATTGGACAAATGCACTTCTTTTAAGAATATTGGTATTAAAAGCATTTTAATTTGAATGAAGTCTTGTTTTTTATAGCTTCCTTGTCATGTGACACACTGACTTCAAATCAATAAAGCATTGTATTACTACATTGGAAAAGTAGGGTACACCTATTATTGGTATTGGTTTTTAGTGATTTATCTATTTTATACAAACATTCTAATGGAAATTCAGCAGTTGCCTTTTTGAACAGTCATGTGACACAGTGACTACAAATTAATGCAGAATTGTATTACTGCACTGGACAAATAGGAACACATTATTTTTGACTGGATTTGGAGTCACAGGGCAACCTGACATAAAAGCCATTGAAAAGGTTGAAACTTTCCAATGGAAAACTGCTGAATTTTCATCAAAACATTTTAATATAAAATAGAGGGTAGATTAAAATCGGCTGTGAGCTAACCATCCTCTGAGTGCCTAGAATCTGTGAAACTGAGTTAGAATACCAGAAAGAATATCTGTTGAATATCAAACCCAAAAACATAATGGGGGTCCGTTTGTCGGTCAGCTGTTTTGGGCAGGACTGAATCATCTCGCCAAATATTGGATGGATTGCTATGACATTTTGTAAGATGAAGAATGAATGAATGGTGCCACATAAATGAATAAAGAATGACTTTAAAGACACTTTTTATGAAAGGCCACCCTCAGGTCAAATTTGGAAATGTCCAATACTTTAGCATTACCTTGTAAACATCAGCATGTTAACATTGTCACTGTGGCTGTTGGCATACTGATGACTGTCTTATTTAATTGAGAATTATGTAAAATGTTGCCTTCATTGTTATTCGTAGATCTACAAAATGGTCTTGCTATTGTAGCCCTTTTACTACTTTTGTGTGTCAGTGATTACAGTTCTTTATTATAGTACAAATAATCTGTGGTGTCATTATTTTGGCTTTCTCTCAGTGCAAACAAAGAGTGAATTTCTCGTTTAAAAATCCCACAGATTACTTTATTTCCCATAAAAGTTTAACAAACATATAGAAAACATCAATGATATTGTTTTCTTAAAAGACATTCCCACCACTTTTGTCCATCTCTATTCCCCTTTCTTCTTCTCAACACTCTTCACCCGGCTCTCGAGGGTGCTCAGCCTCTGCTCCACTGTACAAGTCTTTTCAGAGCAGGAAGTGAGCAGAGTCAACAGCACACATCCCAGCACCAGGCCCCCCACTCGGACCGCTGTAGTGTCTGCAGTGGCGTTCTTCTCCGTCACGATTAGTCCGAAAAGCCAGAGCGCCAAGACGGTTTTCACTACCCAGAACACCCGCTTCACCAAGCAAATGAGCACACGGAGAACGATGGTCAGCACCCAGTAGCCAATGAGGGCCACCAGACCCCACTGGGCGATGGCCGCCACGCCCTCCGGAGTGAAGCGGGGCAAAGTAAGAGCAACTGTGGAGAGAGATGTTCATCAGGAATAAGGCTTGAAAATACTAGTCAGGAAGCAACAGTGGTAAACATTCACACTTAAAAGAAAAAGGAGTGGCATACAAATTGCCTGAGGGAGAGGCACGTCTGCATATTTTCACTAGGCACTTTCCCTCCTCTCTTATAGCAGACCATTTGCAGCAATAAACATAAACAATGAAGAAAAAGTGGAGCTTGCTGCAAAGCCTGAAGTTGCTCAGTTACACACACATAAACACGGGACATCCCGGTACCCACCATCAAATCCTGTGACCCGGAGGATCTCTGCGACGTAAACAGCGATGACGTTCAGGCCGCTGGCAGCTCCTTCAGCGAGGAAACGGATCACCATTTGCAAAAACTGTGGTGGTGCAGAGAGGGTGGAGACATATGTTATTAAACAAGATAGCAATGAAGAAAAGCAGCATTCTAAACATATCTATAATCATGCAGAGAACAACCTACCTATATATTGTCATTGCTCAAATGCACAGGCAGATACAGTACATTCTGACTGATATTCACAGCATGTTTATACCAACTTGATGATTAAATTAATAGAGTACTCGTATGTGACTTTATATATGTGACTATGACTAAAAGTGTGGCTGAGCTGCACCTTAAGATAGAAGAAGTGTTGTATTGTTGACTTGGGCAAACAGCTGTGCATGCAAGTGACAGCTGGACAGTGACCCTCTCTATTCCTGTAGAGTCTCTGCTCACCACCCCCCAAATCAGAAACCATACACACACACACTTCATCAGGCAAGGTCAAGCCCTGTAAGTGGAACAAGTATCTTATCTACAGTACACCTGTTGCGCTACACACTGGCTCATACAAGGGCACTGTCAAGCATCTGCCACTTCGTGTCAGTGTGTATTCAACCTGAAAATATATTAATCATTTACAGCTCAAATTAGGATCAAATTGCCAACCAATTAGATGTTTGAGTGAGTTTTACAACACTAATGCAACATTGCAGTGTCTTTTAATAGACTTGCAAACAGCCATTGTTGTACTTAATTGTTATATATTTGTTGCAATTTCATATACATGTTCAAAAGCTGATTATCGAGTGTAGAGCTTAAACATTTATCAAAAGTGTTTACAAGTGGATTCAAAACCAGCAGAAGCCAAAAATGATACAAAGGACTTATTCACTGTACAGTAGTGGATGACATATACCTTGATGAAATGTTGCTCTGTAACATTATTGGGCGCTGTCAGTGTGGCATGCAATCTTTATCTAACTTTTGCCATATGGATTCAATTTGATCACAGTATCACATTATTTTTCCATTTAAAAATGGGGTTTTTGCCATGGAAAGAGTACCATATAAAACCAAATTCAGGACTCATTCATTAGAAAGCTATTTGTTATCAAGGGATCATACACACCCTTTATTTTGCAGCTACCAGTCATGTTAAACAAGCCTTCTTATCAGCATGCAAACACACACAACAAATAGGACTATTTTGTGGCCCTTTCATGCAAACACCACTGTACATAAACACACACAAAGCCACAGCGCCACTATAGCTCCTACTCTTTGCACTAACTATAACGTGACATGAGCAAAACAGATCCACAGGAGAGGACTCTGTTTTAAGAACCATGTCAGGGCACTAGCTGGGGAGGTTTCTTACCATGGCCCCTGTATAGATGTGTTCCTGGCCAAGCAATGACTCAAGAAACACCACTGCACTCTGGGGAAAAGGGAGCCAGAGCCGAGTGGAAGCAGAAGAGTGTGTCGTGGGGTGAGGGGAATGCATGGGTATAAGATGTCAAACGAGGGCATAAAGATGAGGGGGATCAGGGGAGAGATTAACAAGTTGAAGGGCATGATGGAGAGAGGAATGTGTGAAGGGGGAGGAAAATGGACGGAGAGATGAAAGGAAAATTAGAGCAAACAGTTAAGTTAGACCAAAAACACCCAGGATATTAAAATGTAAGGAAAAAGATGAGTGAAGCCACTTCCTGGTGAGATAAACAGTAGTGATAGCAACCATTGGGGCACTTATTGTCTGTACCTCGGCAGCTGACCGGATCACGCCGCTCCCCACCACTGACTCCGCGTACCGCTGGACCTCCAGGCAGCTTCCCGAGATCAGAGTGCCGAGGGTGACCGGCGGAGGGCTCCCCCCGCCCGGCTGGCCCTGTTCGGCTCCGGCTCCTGCCAGCGCCAGCACCAACACATAGGTGGTGGAGAGGAGGAACAACCGAGCCGAGGAACATCCACCGCGCCCAGAGCCAGACGCACCAAAAGTCATCGTGAGGGATTTGAGAACAAAAGAAACAAAAAAGGTGCCAAAATGTGTGTGCCCGGGTTCAAAAGCTTTAGCCCAGAGCCGGTTAAGCAGCTCTTGTGACTGTAGTTCAAAGACTTAAAAATGGCTCCTTTTTGGGAGCATCGGCTACAGAGCGAGTTTTAAACCAACACGCTGCAGTTCACAATAGGCAGGAAATATGCGTCACCTTATAAAAAGCACAACAACGAATCATCCAATTGGCTAATTAGACAAAATATGTTGTAAAAAAAAATATACACACCGTTAGGACTCCAAAATGTTTCCAGGATTTAATTATAAACTTTGGAAGTGCTGCAAATACCCAATTTAGGACCGCTCAGCTCCGTCAAGGACACTCCAGCATTAACAGTGGCTATATTTGGTAAGAAACTGTCAAAGACTTAAGAAACAGCACCGATCCAGATATCTGATCGGGAGTGCAAATGCAGCTAAAAGTCATTCAAAAAATAGATATAGTTCAGAAATGCCCCTCGTAAGTTTTTCTGTTGTAGCTTTGCGCGTATGAGAAAACGCTAAAACGCGGTGACGTTGAGCTGACCACGAGTCTCTAAAGCTTCTTATTTCAGCTCTGAGCTCCACGCGAGTCAGGTTTGGTGCTCCTTTGTCTCTGAGCTTGCATCAAATGGTCTGCCCTGATGGATTATGTGCCACAATCTATGAAAGAAACCTCCCTTGTCGCTGTCCCTGCATGGCGCTCCCTTCCTTCCAGCGTTTCTAACGACAGATTCCTGTATGCAAACACGTCTGAATATTCAGGAGGAGGAGGGGTGGAGGAAAGTGAGATTTGCACACTGGGGGTTGTCGTTTAATACTCTAGGTCAAATGTTATGATTATTCTCTGGGTTTATTAACCATGTGAGATGCAGAAAATGGTGATTTGGAAACAGAATCCAGACAGTTAAGATGTCACTTTAATAACTAATAGAACAGCAATTACACAGCATCAAGAGAGATTTTCAAATAATAAAAAAATAAACGTAATAAGAAATGATGAATGACACACATACCAACATTAAAACAAACATCCACTACACTTTTACTAATCTTTTTCTTTGTATACTGGTTTGTGTAATTGGCTGTTCTCACTCACGCACACACTCCACAAAAATGCAAACTCGCAGTGTCTTATTCCTCTAGATTCTTTCTGCCCCAGTTTCTGGAATCGTTAAAGCAGTACAGTTGTGGATGGGAGAAGCTGAATTCAGTCATTATTAAGAACAAAAGAAATATTAAAGCGTTCATTTCAGAGCATCACGGCGGCCCTCTGACGCTGGAATCATCGGAAGAAGTCACACTGATGCTTTCCTGCACACACACAGCAGCGGGGGGGAGGCACGTGTTCAGAGGAGGCAGTGATGAGTCTCGCTCCTGGCACTGTTTGCACCACCAATTTTTCTTGTTGACCTTTTTCCTCTTCCTTCGAGTGTGCACTGGGAAACGCAGCTTTAGCCGATGTATATGCGGTGGAAGTCGTTCGCTCCGAAGGCGGCGTTGCACTTGGGGCACTTCCTCTGGCGTGTGTCGTAGCGCGTCTTTACGCACTCGAAGCAGAAGACGTGGAAGCACTTTGTCAGGACTGCATCCTTCACCCGGGAGTTGCAGCAAGGACACGTTAGGCGCGCCTGGGGGAGAGAGGCAGAGAGAGGGGGGAGGGAACCGTTTGAACAATAAACTGAGAAGTGGAGGTCTAATGGATAAGTGAGGTGGGCTGAAGATCAGAAGGTTGTGAGTTCAAATCCCGCCTGGAACACCACCACTAGTGTGCCCTTGAGTAAGGCGCTTAGCCCATAGTTACTCCAGGGAGAATGTCCCTGTAATCGGTCATTGTAAGTCGCTTTGGATAAAAGCGTCAGCTAAATGAAATGTAATGTAAAGAAGCCATTTTAGTGCTGAGCTGAGAGGTTTTGTGATAAGTGGACTCAAAAATCTTCAACTGCCCTTAAGCAGGACAAACCACATGATATGAAGGCTGATGCGAGGGGAACAGATTTCCTGTCTGTGCAACATCAAAAAAGGTTTCCAGCAATTCCAGTATGTCTTTTTTCAAGAGTTTTGATGACAATCGGAATAATATCTTGAATTGTACTTTTTTTGTTGTTGCCATAATCCTATCCTCCCATGCCTATACTGATTGCAAGACCATGTACAGAACAGAGAGCACATATAGACTTGCCTCAGAGTATTTCCCCTTCATGATGACAACAAACACCTTTACAGTTCATGATCAAATCTGGAGAAATCTGGGATGATCCATTTAGATGTCTGTCTGTGCTACCAGATCTAAATGGACACTAGCTACTATTTGTACAAGTGAGTCATTTATAATGTCTGATGTTAAGTATTTGCACAGTGCATGTGTGTTTCTGTCGAAATAGTGTGATCACACTGACAGCTGGTCTCATTTGGGGGAAACTACAGTAATAAGGATAACCCATTCAGTTACTGCCTAGTTAGAAAATGAAGAGAGCAATGAAAGTCCCATTTAGTTTTTCTTGCCGTTACATAAGACTGATACCACTCTAGTGTGTTAATGCACAACATGAGGTTACTGTCTGCAATTGGCATGCTTAGCTGATGTGGGTGTGCCTTAAACCCTGACCAACATCATGTTACAGTAACTCTGACTTCCAGAAGCAGACCTATGAACAGAACGTCTTTTAGTTTCTTTGCATCACAGAAACCTACCTTATAGTCACTGATTTCTTCATTAAGGATGTCGTCTCCGTTGCTGATTTTCTCTGCGGGTTTCTTGGCCTTCTCAATCTTTCCCCTTAGTTTGGAGATGTCCTCCTGAAACACATTACATTTATGTAGTTTAAGATATGAAAGGGTGATCTGTAAGTCAACAGAATACTTTCTTCTTGCTGTGTTAACCGCACTGTGCCACATGTGTATCACGGTTATGGAAACAAAGAACGTTTTGAAACCTTATCCCATCTGTTAAACACCATGTATAGACCACGTCTTGCCTTTATAATTCCACCCACTTTATGAAACGTTCTGACTTGATTTTGTGCGTGTTTATTTGCGGATGTTACCTGTGCTCGTCTGGCGTTAAAGGACTCTTTCTCCCTGGAGATGCTGTTCTCTATGACCTCCTCTCTGACCAGTTTGAGCCTCTGCTGAACTTGCTCCAGCTGGGTTCGCACCTCCTCCGACAGCACCGCAGACTCCTGAGCCTGGAGGATGGGAGAAGGTGTTATTCTGCCTCAACGTCAATGTTTCTGTTCATAACTGTGCATATCTGAATGTGTTACCTTGCGTTTGTTCATGTCTAACGCTTGTGTTCGAAGGGCCAGCTCTCTCTCAGCAGTGCTGATGGTGCCCTGCAGGAGGCGCTCCTTTTCCTCAAGCTTCCTCACCACCTGCAGCTGGGCATCCACCTGACAAATGGGAACAAACCCAACAAATGTGGATGGTAAACAAAGGTTTTTTTAAATTCGAAAACACAGATTTGACATTTTAAGGGAAAAGATGGTAAACGAGTGAAAGCACACAAACAAAAAGCAGCATCAGGATGTCAATTGAATGCACATTAGACTTTTTATTCAAGCTTTCTTTCTTTATTCTCCGACACGCTATTGAAAAGAAAATTGAGCACTCAAATTAAATATATCTAATCCCTACGGCATGCAAAGAAAGGATGAAGTGACTCCAGGTTGTTATCACTGCAGTTGAACTGTGTGTTTGTGTTGGTGTGTACAAACCCTTGACAGATTGCACCTGGTGTTGACTGGAGGCTCACCTGCGTTTTTAAAGTCAGCAGTTGGTCTGCCAGCTCCTCCTTCTCCTCTTTCAGCAGCTTGTGGATCTGGTTGGACTTGATCCGCTCGCTCATCAGCTTGAAGTTGGCATCGTCTTTTTCCCTGAGCTGCTGCATCAGACGGATGTTCTGTTCCTGCATGTCCTCGAAGGCCTGCCCCGTTACGTCCATCTCGCTCAGCAGGGCGTCCTCCTCCTGCAGAGGGAGGCAGAAAGAGAGTTAGAGAGACAGAGGGGTTATTGTTAGTGCATTCGAACACAACGACCAGATGACACACCTGTTTTGCTATGGAGAGCTTCTTGTTGAGGATGTCGATCTGCTCCTCCACAGAGCGGATCTTCCTCAGAGCTTCTTCGTCCGCCATCTTTTTGCCCTCCCTCCTCTCCCTCTCCTCAAGCTCCCTCAGCCTCTGCCGCAGCTCCTCTCCCTGGAAACAGCATTGTTATTATTGGGGTGCCACAAAACAGATTTAAAAGTGACTTCAGCAGCAAAAATCATGTTTGACTTTTTAAAGAATAATCACCTCTGACTTGGACTTCTTCTCTGCAGCCATGAGCTGGACCTTGTCCCTCTGCTCCTTTGGCGCTGAGCGGTACATGTCCAGCAGCAGCTTCATCTCCCGCTGGGACTCCTGGGCTTTCCTGCACAGCAAAGGGAAAAGTATTTCAGCCTTGGTAGCCCTATGTAGACCCTCCAGGAAAATGCGATTATGCGATCGCATAATTTAGCATTTTTTGTTTACGTACTTCTATGTAATTAAAGAATTGTTTGTAAAAATCTATGACGAATATGTAATGATGCAGCATGATTCAATACTCTCTGACACACTAACAACCTCGTCATATTAACCACTAGGCCACACAGTTCTTTTGATCTAATTGATAGATTAAAAAACTAGCATGATTTAACAAACAATTGTTTTATTTTCATGTTATTATTATTATTTGACTGGAGAAGATTGAAAGAAACTTTAAATGTCTTACAGCCTGAGTTCATATTGGTTTACAGTATGTTCCTGATGTTTATAGAGAGAATCCTAACAGAGATATATATAATGAAAACTTCCCAGGAGGCCACTTACTTGAGTTCGGCTCTTATGATCTTCAGCTGCTCCATCTCTTTCCTCTTGGACCCCCCGATGGAGGGGCGCTCCCCGGCCGACTCCTCCGGCTGGCTGCTGCAGCCGGTCCTCTCCTCCTTCATCACACTGCTGCGAGTCGGCCTCTCTCTCTCCTTTTCCTTCTCTTTCTCACGCTCTCTGTCTTTCTCCTCTTTCTTTATAATGTCCTTTTCTCTCTTTTCCTCCTTTTCTTTCTTCTCATCTTTCTCCTCCTCTTTTACTGTTGCTTCAGGTTCTGCTCCAGGCTCAGTTTTCACAGAGGCTCCTATAGAGAGAAGAAAGTAAAGACTTGTCAATGAGGACAGTCCTGATGTACTTAATATCCGCTGTGAGAACAGCGGGAAACCAGGATACAAAAAGCCATCTAATCTATTTGTTACATCAAAGTTGATCCACTCGGTGATAGCTACCAGTGCTGCTGGGCGTGGAGGAGCCGTTGTCAGCCTCTGATTTGACCACAGGCTCCCCGGAGACGGCTGGTGTCGAAGGAGAGGTGGTCTCATCCTTCACGTCCATCTCTGTGCTGGACTGGGACTGGAGGATGGCATTTCCCTTTGAGGCGCGGACCTAAAGAAGTAACAGATTCATGTGCATGATGCGCTTTCTTATACTATACCCATCAAATGTGTTATCAAACTGACCGATAACTTTAATGAATACTGTGATTTGGAGCCTTTTCCAAAAGGTCATGGACCCTTGTGTGGACTATGATGACACCATGAGCACACAGTGTTGCACTAACCACCTCATTTGAAGGTTACCAAAACACAGCCCTTTACATGTGAGAAGTGATTGACCACGAGACATTAAAACAACAACAACAA